TAGGTCTTTCACTTCCTTGGTTAGGTTTATTCCTAGGTATTTTATTCTTTTTTCTGCAATTGTGAATGGAATTGTTTTCCTGATTTCTCTTTCTGCTAGTTCATTGGTAGTGTATAGAAAAGCAACAGATTTCTGTGTATTAATTTTGTATCCTGCAACTTTGCTGAATTCCAATATTAGTTCTAGTAGTTTTGGAGTGGAGTCTTTGGGGTTTTTTATGTACAGTATCATGTCATCTGCAAATAGTGACAGTTTGACTTCTTTACCAATCTGGATTCCTTGTATTTCTTTGTTTTGTCTGATTGCCATGGCTAGTACTTCCAGTACTATGTTGGCATGCCTGTCTTGTTCCCAATCTTAGAGGAAAAGCTTTCAGTTTCTCACTGTTAAGTATGATGTTGGCTGTGGGTTTGTCATATATGGCCTTTATTACGTTGATGTACTTGTGGTGGCTACCCTTTTTATTAGTTTGAAGAAATTCTCTTCCATTCCACATGTGCTAAAAGTCTTAGTTGATTTTTAATCATGAATGAGTAGTGAATTTAATCAACTACTTTCTGCATCTGCTGAGGTGATCATATTTTTTTCCCTTTAATCTGATAATGTGGTGAATTATGTAAATGTATTTTTTAATGTTAAACCGAATTTCAGTTTATTTAGATAAGTTTTTTTGTGATGTGTTTGTTTTCTATACACTGTCAGATTTGGGCAACTGCTGGCTTCAGTTCTCACTCAGCTTTCTGAATCTTTGCTAGCTTTTGGCCTCAGGACTTTTCTTTCTTGTTGCCCAGTGATATATTTAACAAGATACTTTTTAAAATGTTTTTCTAGCCTTTGGGAGTATTTTATAGCAGAAAGATGGTGGGGGTGTCAGATTCACCAAATTACTAGAGCTAGATTCTACTTTCTCGTATTTTTAGTGTAAAGGTTTCCATTAATGTATGATATGATCACTTACCACCATTTCTGCCTTTTCTTCCTGTCTCTATGCACAACTATCCTTCTCCCCACTGAAAGCAAGGAAGCAGCATTCTTGTAGTGGAAAGAGCATCATACCAGGAGTCAAAAGGCACAGACTATAGTGCCAGAACCACCACTTAGTGAGATCTTGACCAAGCCACTTACTCTCTGAGTTTCATTCAATCATCTGCTAAGTGGAAACGCTCAGTATTGAAATGTGAACACACTGTCATAAGGGGAAATGATGAGAAGCAATGATGTCGAGTACATTGTCTGTTAGGAAAATGTAACAGAAAGGGAGTTTAGGGAGGGGAGAGGGTTGATTAGGTTGCATAAAGGAGTTCTAGGGAGATGTAACAATTTCATATGATTCTGTAATAGTGGATACATGACACTATGCATTTATGAAAACCCATAATGCTTTACAGCACAAACAGTAAACCT